TTGACAAAATGCAAGCTTTCATGAATTGAGGGAATATAGCTCGAACTCTTTCAACAAACTAATGCAGCACTAGAGGCATTCACTCATCTAGCTCAAGAAATGTGGAAGACAGAAGACATATTTTTGCCCATTGCAAAGAGAGGTGACCCAAAGGAATATGAAAATCATAAACAATATCATATGCAAATAAAATTTTGCTGAAGATAATTTGAAACCGATTGCATTAAGAAGGAGCTGCCAGAAATTCAAGCCAGATTCAGAAGAGGTTGTGGAATGAGAGATGTCATTGCTGATGTCAAATAGGTCTTAGCTGAAAACAGAGAGTACCAGAATTTTTTGTTTTTCTTTTTTACTTTACTGTCTATTCAAATGTATTCAACTATGTGGATCATAACAAACTATGGATAACATTGAGAAGACTGGGTAATCCAGAGCACTTAATTGTGTTCTTAAGGAACCTTTCTATAGACCAAGAGTTAGTTGTTAGAGCAGAACAAGGGGACATTGAATGGTTTAAAATCAGGAAAGGTGTGAGTCAGGGCTGTATCCCTTTACCATACTTATTAAATCTGATTGAATAATCTGAGAAACTGGATTATATGATGAAGAACAAGGCATCCGGATTGGAGAAAGAGTCATTAACAAGCTATGGTATGCAGATGTACAACCTTGCTTGTTGAAAATGAAGAGGACTAGAAATACTGATGAAGGTCAAAGACTACATACAGCCTTTAGTATGGATTACACTGCAATGTGTAGAAAATAAAAATCCTCACAAGTGGACCAGTAAATAACATCAAGATAAATGGAGACAAGATTGAAACTGTCAAATGCTTCAATTTGCTTGGATCCACAATCAATGCTCCTGGAAGCAACAGTTAAGGAATCAAACAAAATACTGCATTAGGTAAATCTTCTGCAAAAGACCTCTTTGAAGTTCAAAAGCAAAGAAGTTAGTTTGAGGGATAAAATGTGCCTGACCCAATCCATGATATTTTCAATCAACTCACATGTATGTGAAAGTTGGACAACAAGTAAGAAAGACTGTAGACAAATGGATGCATTTGAGTTACATTGTTGGCAAAGAGTATTTAAAGTACAATGAACTGGCCGGAGAACAAGCCTAGAATGCTCCTTAGAAAGAGGGTGGCAAGACTTCACCTCTCGTACTTTGGACATATTATCTGGAGGGAACCAGTCCCTGGAGAAGGACATCATGCTTGGAAAAATTGAGTGTCTGTGAAAAAAAGGAAGACCCCCAACAAGATGAGCTGACACCATGGCAGCAACAGTAGGCTCAAATATGACAACAATTTCAAGGATTGTTCAGGACTGGGCATTATTTTTTTTAATGTTATGTATAAGGTCTCTGTGAATTGGAACCAACTCAATGGCACTTAACAACAAAAACATATTATTCCAAAGACTTCTTACTTAAGTTGATATATTTTAGCAAGAGAGCTTAACACATCATTTTAACAATCTGTAAAATGCTTGATTTTTTAAAAATGATGTCCTTATCTGAGTCAAGATTTGGCATAGGAAATCCCATCACATTCTTTCATTAACTTCATCATTACACGAATGGTCATTAGGTTCTTGGTACCTTGTATTTTGTATCAGCTGAAAGGTGGCTAGGGGAACTATCCATGTCCTATAGCTAACTTTTTCTTTATGTGCCAGGGTTTTCTGTACCACCTAGACTCGTCTCAGCCTCACAGACTTGCTGCACCAACATTGCCTGCCTTACTGTCTGTACGGCCTCCACTGCTCCTTAGCATATGCCCCCACTGCTCCGGTGGCAGCTGCCTCTGGATCAACTCAATGACTATGGGAGTGAGGGTATCATCATCTGAGTCCAAACTGCCATGAAAGCTGTTGTCCACTTGTGGTGGTCACTCTTGGGTAAGTCTCCTTAAGTTTTTTCCTTTGCCAGCCTTTACAGAAGTGGTTGCATCCAGGTGTACTGATGATGAGAAGTCCTGATGAACTATGAAAAAATTGCTGATGATAGAGAAAATTGGTCATAACCAACATATATTGAAGACAGAGTCAGCAGATTTTGCTATGGATTAGAGGAAAGAGAAGAGAGAAGAATAAGTGTTACTTATGGTTCCCAGGATTTGGATTTAATGATTAGAAGAAAAACTTGAGGAGAGGAGAACAACAGGCTTTGTGAGTGGGAATGAAGCATTTGATTTTAGACATATTTCAAATACTTATTAGATATCCCAATGGAGTTGCAAGTACCTGCTTGAAATATGAATACAAAGTTGAAAGGAGTAGTTAGAAATTTGTAAGCAATTTGTGAGCTTTTTCAGTAATCTGATAAGCAATTGTCAACCACTGGGTTACAAACATGAGTGTTTTGTTTGGATTTGAACATATTCATGGTCATGTGCCTTATTTTTATGTTCATAACTGAAATTGAATTTTTTAAAATCTACATAAAAGACTGCCCACGAGCTCAGTTTCCTGATGTTCAGCTATGTGGAACATGGAAATAAAATCACAGCTACTTCTAAGTCACCACCTGTTATGAATTGAATTTTGTCCCCTCAAAATATGTGTTGTAAATCATAACCCCTATACCTGTGGTTATAGGAGCCCGTGTAGCACTCACTCCTTGTAGAACCACAATGTTGGTAGTTCAAACCCACCAGCCACTCCTCAGTAGACAAAAAGAAGCTTCCTGTTTCTATAAAGGTTTACAGCCTCAGAAACCCTATACAGGGTCACTAGGAATCACAATAAACTTAATGGCAATGGGTTTGGTTTTGGGGTTTTATACTTGTGGATAGAACCCTATTTGGGAATGGGTTTTCTTTGTTATGTTAATGAAATACTAGTGTAGAGTGTTTGTGAAGTCAATCTCTTTTGAGACACAGAAGAGATTAAGCAAGCAAGCAAGCAAGCAATCAGAGATCGTGAATGATAGATATCACACCACATAAAGATTACTAATGTACCAAGGAATAGAAGCAGAAGAGACAAGGAAATTCCCCCAGAAAATAACAGAGAGAGCAAGCCTACCCCTAGAACCACTACCCTGCATTTGGACTTCTATCCTAAACTGTGAGAAAATAACTTTCTATGTATTAAAGCCACCCATTGTGGAATTTCTGCTATAGTTGTTGCTGTTGTTAGGTACCCTGAGTCAGTTCTGACTCATAGTGACATTATGTGCTATAGAACAACAATAAATATATATAAACAAACGAGTAAATAAAATCATTGTTGTTGATTCCAACTCCTGGCAACCCCATATGTTGCAGAGTGCAATTACTCCATAGCATTTTCTTGGCTGCAATCTTTACAGGAGATCACCAGGCCTTTCTTCTACAGTGCTGCTGTATGGCTTTGAACCACCAACCTTTAGGTTTGTTATTGTTAAGTGCTGTCAAGTAAGTTCTGACCCATAGCAACAATGGATAGGGTTTCCAAGGAGTGGCTGATGAGCTTGAATCACTGACCTTGTGGTTTAAACCGACTTTGGAGTCCAGTCCATTAGCCCACAGTGCCACACCAGGACTGCCATTTGTGCCACCCAGGTAATTAAATCTATATATGGGGAGGCTTTAAAATGTTCATAGAAATTTTTCAATATCTTTTAATTCCATTTTCCATGAACTTTGGAAAGTGCTCTTCTATGCTAGGTCTGAAATCAGATATTAATAAGGAAGGAAACATGGCATTAAGATAGAGGAAAAAAAGAAATTACAGCGTGTGCATGCTACGTTGAGCTCATATAAACACTCTGAGAGGACATTTTAAAACCTGGAATATAATGAGATCAAACTAAGCAAACAAAAAATGTAGTAGCTCTCTTGGAGCCACAGAGCTGAGAGAGAAGGATCTCAGAGGTGTGTGTGTGTGTGTTATCACATTGGGTTGTAAGACATCTCTTTCACATGCCTCTAAAGTTTTTCTTAAGGCTGTAACTGCAGTTGATTTTGTGAAATAGAAATAACAAAACTACAGTGAGCACAAATTAAATGTTTTCTTAGAATATTCAATGCAGTATTTCCCTGCAGAGACTCACAAGAAAAAGTGCCATGCTGAAGAAAGTTAATGTCACTTTTGGGAATCCAGTCCTAAGAGAGACTGGAATGTTCTCACCTTCCCTCCTCTTCAGTATCCAGGAATGGGTTGCCCAATTCTGCCTAGTTGGCTGCCATCAGAACCAGGAAACCTCCGGGGAGTCATTTTAAAGGCCAAGCCAATGAACAGAATCTGTCCAGAAGCAAATAACACTAAGTACTTTTTTGCCTCCTTCTTCTTACCATACAGCAGTTCCATGGAGAAAGAAGAAGGCAGCATCCTAGTTGATCTGGCAAAGGTTGTTTTTTTAACCCCTCCTATTTTACTTGCATTTCCAGAGTGAGCAATAGAGCATAGAGATCTGTGTTTCCACTAAACACAGATTTCAAACAAAATCATTCCTTGGACAGTTTCTTCTATTTTTTTTTTTTTCCTATTAATGTTAATGTAATTCTTGTGATTCAATTGAGATAAATTATAGACATGCTGTTGCTAAGTGCCGTCAATTGATTCTGAACCATTGTGACCCTGTGCAGGGTCTCCAAGGAACAGCTGGTGTATTTGACCCAGTGACCTTGTGGTTCATAGTCCAGTGCTTATCCTACAGTACCACACCAAGATCCCAAAATTATATATATATATATACACACACATGTTGTTAAGTGCTATTGAGTCTGTTCCAACTCATATTAACCCTGTATAGGGTTTCTAAGGAACGACTGGTGAGTTTGAACTGCCGAGTGATGTTGCAGTCCAGCGCATTAACCCACAGCACCATACCAGAACTCCAAGGTCAGTGGTTAAAAATTCACCAGCTGCTCCTCAGAAACCCTATACAGGGTCGCTTTGAGTCAGAAATGACTTGAAGGCACTTAACAACAACACAGACAATTTAAACATATCACTGCACATATATATGTAGGAAATGAGTGTGAGGCATGACTCTGTTACCTTTAATATTATTGTTTATTGATATAAAAAGTGTTATTCTCTGAATATGAATATCATTTAGTGCATTGAAATGTAGAAACACAACTATTTGTGTTTCAGCTCTAGGTCAGTCTGAGAGTGCCCAAAGCAAGCTTTCAAAATTTAATAAAAAACTCTCTGGAGTTGTCTTGCTGTCATGATTCTGATGTGTTCTGATTTCCTTCTGGAGTCATAAATTGAACCTTTGGCACAATGAGGGAAGAGTTATTCCTTCTAATGGAATTATTCCTTCTCATGGAGTTGTTTCTTCTCATGGAATTGCGCTTCCTCAGAGAATTTTGGTGGGACAGCTCACTCTTCTGAAGGGTCTGAATAAGTATGGAAGGCTTCTCATCCAGCTCTCGAGCACTGCATCGTGGAGCAGCTACTTTGACAGTGTTGCCAAATTTGGAGTAATCCACAGAGTACACACCTTCCTCCTCAGTCACAATAGACACAAAGCGGTGGCCCCATTGGATTTCCTCAGCGATGTAGGAGGTGCGTGCTTGTGTGGTAATACCAGTAGTTTCTACCACTCCTTCCAGAATGACTATGACCTCCAGATCTTGGTTGACTAGATCAGTTGCTGAAATATCATACAGGGGACTGCGCTTGTCAATCACATGACAGATGATCAAAGGGGCCACTAGAAAAATGTTATTACTTTCAATAGGGTTATCAACTGGAATATCCACTTGATGAATAGGCACCACCTCCCCTTCAGGTGTGGTTGTTTTCTTGACCACCTGAATGCGTACTGAGGCACTAATGATCATGCTTTTCCTCAAGTCACCCACTCGGAACATGAAGCACAGCTTGCCATTTCGAACAGCAATCACAGCATGGCGGCTGAAAATCAAAGTTTCTGCCCTTCTGTGAGCTTGAGCTGTTTTCATGAAAATGCAGCCCAACATGACTGCATTGATGATTAAACCCACAATGTTCTGGAGAATCAAAACTGTTATGGCCAGAGGACATTCCTCTGTCATCATCCTCCCTCCAAATCCAATTGTCACTTGAACCTCAATGGAGAAGAGAAAAGCAGAGGTGAACGATCTGTAAGGAATGATATCAGAAAACAACGCCATTAGGTGAAATTTTGAATAAAATAACATATCAAACCGAACGCTTCAGTCTTGTTTCCCAAAGACCATCAAATGGTTTTAGAACTACAAGTCAACTTAATTTGCCAAATGCTTGATTCCAAGCACAAGCTCTTTTTCTGGTTGTTTCGGAATGTACACTACCTCTTATTTCTGGGATACAATTCTATTGGTGTTTTATAGGTTATTAAATGGTGGGTTCCCATGTGTGAAAGCATTAATAAAATCATAAGCATTTTACTGACAGTTTCATAAAGTAAATCATGTTAGTTCACGAAGAATAGATATATCAGTGGCATCTACTTAACCAGATTGAAAACTAGTTGTTAATCTAAATTAAAATAACATTGATAATTTACCAAATTCCAAGAGAGCTTCAAAAAGTTCATGGAAAAATTCCATTGTCTTTTCATTCTATTTTTCCAAGAACTTTTTGAAAAGCCCCTCATGTTTTAATTAAGTACTTACACTTGAATATTTGTGCTTAAGTGGTTTGAGTCATATTGAAATCAGAGTAATGTAATCTTTAAAATTATGTTCATTTGCCAGCACGTATTGTATACCATTAAGCGCAATGCTACCAAGTGGTACAAAACACATTATTAAAAAGCAATAACATTTTTAGTAATAAAGAATATCTTGCCATTGAGCTAAAAAGCTTTTTTACTGAATGTGTTGTATTGTCTTCTATGTGATCTAGAAAAGACAACAGCTATTAATGGAAGAATTTGAAGCAGAGATTAGCAAATATCTATGTCAAAATCAAATAATGAATATGAGCTTGAATCGTCTGAATTCTGACCAAATGCTCTGAAAATGGAAATAGGAAAAGGCCAATAGTGTCAGAGTTCTCTTGGTGAGATTTTCCAAAGTGCACATCTCAGTGCACATCTGCATTGACTTGGTAGGTTCAAGGTCGTACCTGGGTAAAACTCTGAAAAGCTCTCAGGTGATTGTGATTCACTCCCTCCCCTTTGAGCAGCATTAAATTTGATTATACTTATCATTAATTTGCTCACTTACTACATTCCAAATACTGTTACCGCTACTTAATAGAAATTATTCCTGTTTTACTTCTTAAGCTCCAATTTCAAACCTTTCTTAGACAAGCCACGTATAGACTAATATATGTCACAGTGTCATCTAAAAGAGCATTTATTAATGTCACACACTATCAGTGAGCAAAATTTTAAAACAGTATGCACAATACATCTTGCACCAGGAAGGGTATGGAGCATGCATAAATGCCTTTTTTAAAAAATTAGCTTTGAAGTGAATTGTGAAAGTTGCCTTTTCTTTTCTTTCTGTAGATAAGGATGGATAAGAATCCTTATGAATTGCTATAACACCATATTAATCAATTAAAAGCAAAGTATACCACATGGTCCAAAACTATGGCAAAGACTAGCTATGGGTTCCAGATGTAGTGTCAAAGATACAACATAGATTTCTAATAATGCATCCATATTTCAGTGAGCTATCTAATGATGACTATTACCAAATAGTTTTGGTTCATTTAATACTTGAGAGAATACTCATGTACCATACTTTGCATATTGTTTATTTTATTAAGGAACCTAATACCAAACATATGGTACAAAATCCATCCTTTTATGACACCTATGGTACTAAACAATGTCAGCAGATGAAAGTGTTTAGCGGTTCTTTAGTCAGCTACAGAGTTTGAGGCTGAATCATGTTGAGAAAGGGGAAATAATTTCTGACTCATAGAGTCATGTACACACAGGGGAAAATGATTCATGCTAAAGCAAGAGTGTAGAATATTGTTTAGAAATATTGGTGAGTATACATTTTGAAAAGTTGCTTCCCATCTCAGTAACATAGCAGGACACTGAACTTACGAAAGGAAAAGATATTCAAAGGATAAGATTCATTATTAGTCATCTTTTAAATTCTTTTGGTGGGGAAAAGAGATTTTTCTATTTCTATATTTTTGGTGATGAAAAAAATTATTATGCATTTGGAGTATGATTAGGAGCCCTGGTGGAGCAATGGGTTAAGCATTGGACTGCTAACCTAAAGGTTGGTGGTCCAAATCCACCAGTCAGCCCACCAAAGAAAGATGAGGCTGTTCCAGGAAAGACTTACAGCCTCTGAAACCCCACGGGACAGTCTACTTGGTCCTATAAAATCCACTCAATAACAGTAAATTATTCTTGTGATTAAACTATACTGAGATTAATGGAAAAATAGTACCAAAATTAAAAACAAAGTCAGGAAGAACAGAATAACCTTAAAGATAGCAAAGAATTTTCCATAGGTAGGAAGTACAATTTCAAATGCTAAAATTACTATGCTGATCAGATTGACTTTGTCCAGTTGTATGTTCAGCATTTCTCATAGTTAATTTAATGTACATACAAACAGGAGTGCATCAAGGGATTGAACGAACATGTTTCAGATCATAATTTATTAGAAAAAATAAGAGCTACAATTTTTAATAACCAGTAGATCATCTAAAGTTCTTATTTAAAAATCATTGAAAAATACCACTTTTATTATATATATTTAATAACTAACTTAATGTCTTCATATTCATGGAAAAGGGGAATACATTTGATTTATAAATAAAATATGGTATTTATTTACAGGGATTATCTTTTTAGTTTCTCTTATCTCTGTTTATGATTGGCTACTGCATACTGATCAAACATTTCTTTTGATATGGAAATGATTCACCAATGACAGTGCCAATAAGTTTCCTAAAGAGAAATCTTGTTGTTGTTGTTAAGTGTCGAGTTTGAACTGCCAGCCTTACAGTTCAAACCAACTTTGTGGTCCAGGGCACTAAATCACAGCACTATACCAGGACACCAAAGAGAAATAGAATTAGAGAATGATGTTTTATCTTCAAATACCTGTTTGTTACACATAGTATTTTAATAGTTATTACGTTTTGTTTTTTTTTAATCACTAATGAGCATCTACATTTTTCACCTATATTTTCCTTTGAAACAAAAGTTTGTGTTGCGCTCTCTAGTCCTTAGCTTCATCTTGTTAGAAACCTCCAAGACATGAGAGTCAAGTGGAGCAAAGAAGTGAATGTGCAGGCTGAAGCACAAAAGGAGAAAGATGAGGCAAAGGCCCAAGTAACACTAGCAGAAACCACAGCAGCAGAAATATGGTATGTTGGAGGGCAGGACACTGGTACAAGTTATTGACTGCATGTTACTCTCTCAAACTTCAGCATCAATGGATCTAGAACTTCCACTACCATTCAATGAACAGTGGGAACACCTGAGGCACACCGTGCTCAATTCAGTCCATTTTGATCCTTTGCCCTGGACCTATGGCATTTTGGACTAGTTCTGTTCTCTGTCTGTTGTGGCCGAATGTAACATGTATACAATAAATCATCTCTTCTGTCTCAGCTGATGAATTTTTAAAAACAAAAAATTTGTGTTGGAAAGAAAAATAGTTATCTATTCAAAGGTAAAGTTAGGTGATTACGTCAATATAGTTCTCTTTCTTCCTGAAATCTGTGGTATGCTATCTCCACAGATATATGCTTAATTCCTCATGCTTGCACTGAAGTTACTTAGGGAATAGGAGAATAGACAACTTCACAGCATGGGTTTCTGGTTCTTGCAGTGGTATGCTCGTTTATAAGATTCTGGGGTCAGTACAGTCTCATTATTTAGAGTTTCCTGACAGCACTTGTTCAAGTATTTGAACAAAATGTTGACAGGTCTTGTTCAAGTTTCTTTGCTTTGCGCACTATGTGAATTTGGTCCATTATTCAGAAAATATCCTGGAAAATTTCCCATTACTACTATTAATGTTTTGCTTCAGAGTAAGTGATTTTGCAATGAATATATATTATCTTTTAAACTATTCCAACAAAATTAATTAAGATACAAATCCCCCTGGTCAAAAGCTCTTACACACCATCTGGAAATATGAAAAGACAATCACTGAAAATAAATTCACTTTACCTGTCCTTGAATACTAATAAAAGGAATAGTAAACATTAGTTAATCTAAAAATTATCTCCTTCCTATTCTATTAAGACTTTGAAAACAAAAAGTCCAATATTAAATCACTTCTATACAATTCTGTCCATGAATATTTTGGACAAATTTCCATTAAAAGTTCATGTTTTTCTAGTTTTGAATCTTAGCATAACTTTTTTTCAGAAGCCAGTATAATAGATGAAAGTAATCTTAATAAAGTAAGACTTATATTAATTTCATTTTTAGTAGGTTTTTCATCCAGGACCCTGATCCATCAGTATCTTCTCATTTTGCTCACTATTTCTGAAAATTTTATAGGTAAAAGACACCATGGGAAAATGTTACTAGTCTGCATAATTTTTGTTGAGCCGAGATATTTATTTGGGGACACTGAATTTTGGGGGCAGTTTTTTGTTTTTTTGTTTTTATGTTACTAACTAAATGTATGGATGTGTATAAGAGATAGTCTGTGTAATTTTTCTGAACCACAACATTTTTTATAAACAACTGGTATAAAATATTGATTTATAGTCCAAGGGATTGAAGTTCCACATTTTCAGAGACTCATTTTTCATAAAATTATCTTTTAAAAGGTTTGTAATCTCATAGATTGATATGATTTTCATTTTGTTTGTTTCTTAAAACAAACCCTTTATTTCATTTTCAACACATAAAATGATAGGAAAAAGGCAATATAATATTTTTGCTATTGTTATGTGCAATCCTTACCCCCTCCCATTGCAATCTTACCTGACATTAGTCACACACACAGTTGATTCCAACCCACTTTTCTCCACTGTACTTTTCTCCAGGTAAGCATAGATGTCCCCATGGGCAAAGGCCACCAGCCACCACATGATGGCAAAGAGTAGCCAGCTGCAGAGGAAGGACATGGTAAAGATGACCAGGGTATGACGCCATTTCAAGTCCACTAAGGTGGTGAAGATGTCCTGAAGAAAGCGTCCTTGTTCACGGATGTTCTTGTGCGCCAGGTTGCAAGCCCCGCTCTTGGCAATAAAGCGAGCTTTGGGGAGTCGGTCTCGCACGCGCGGCTTGCGCAGATTCTCCGCAGCGATTCGCGCCAGCACATACTCCTCAGGGATGATGCTCTTTCTGGCCAACATAGTCCTATCGCCAGAGCCAGTCTATCCACCTACCTCTGACTTGCCTTCCAAGATCGGCCCTTCTGCATGAGGGAAACGACGATTAAAATAATAATAATAATAAAACTATATAGACATATGTATATTTATAGATATAGAGACAATGGTAAAGATATAGATACAGATATAAAATAATTTCTTCACTTCTTCAGTGACATATCCATACATGCAAGGTGATATGCAAAGCTAAAAGGAAGATTTACTGCATCTAAGCGCAGACCTAGCTTGAGTTCTGGGATTTCCCAGACATTGTTACTTGGCCTGAATCAGGAAAACCACAACCACTGTTCTTTTCATTCCCCACACATATAGTGAAACAATATCAAGTGCTTTCATGGAAACAGCAGGCTCAGAGATAATTCTGTAGCTGGAAGTAACACTGGTGAAAATTAAAGCCAGAGGATCTATTAAAGGATTCAGACGATATAGCGATATTGAAAGTAATGAAGGGAAACTTCTCCATGATTTTTGGAAGTAAGTGAATAAAAGGCAGTGGGCTTTTACGCAGTTGTAAATAACATGTCTAGTGCCATCTGACAAAATAACAATAAGCCATGCGTTATATAATTGAACATTATGAAGAATTATTTTAAATTCGAAGAAAGCGTGAGTTGCATAAAAAAGAAAAGAAAGAAAAGGCAAAAAGAAAAACACAAACTCATAATGTTATAACTTGAAGACTTCTTTACAAGGAAGGGATCAAACACAAGATCCTAAAGGCTGCAGACACATTCGTGGTAGAGTATTTGAAAAGTCCATCCAGCATTGCAAACCTGTGTTTTGCTTTTTAAGTAATTTGCGGGAACTTGGAAAGCCTCACCCTCCCTGTCCCGCAGGAACTTTGAAACTTACAGACTCCCGGCAGCTAGCGCCCTGGCTGGACCTTCACAAACACGCCGGCCCACAACCGGCTGGTCCCTCGTTCTCCCATCCCGGCGCGCGGGAGCACGGGCCGCGAAGCCGAGTCCGCGGGCCGAGTGGTCTAAAGAGAAGAGATAAAATAATAAAAAGGTGTAATTGAATCTAAATGCCCAGAGGGCTGGGGGGAGGTGGATGGTGTAGCTCTTCCGTCCCCCTGCTCAGCCAGATTTTCTTGGCAGATATAATGGGCAAAGGAGGGGCTGGAGGAGAGGAGCTTAGGGAAGATGCTCCACAAATCAACCTCTCCGTTCTGGCTTTGACTTGCACCAGACCTCTGAGGCCGCCACCGTGGTGCCAGAGGTCGGGGTGTGCAGAGAGCAGGCGAAGGCGCGTCCTGGGGAAGTATGGAGCTAGCCGGAGGGAGAAGGAGGGACGACCCTAAGGGAGGGCGGGACTTGTGGGGCCAGCAATTTTCCCAGTAGCAGCGACCCCCGGCCACCAGCGTGACACACATGCCTTTAAATGTTTTCTGCTCAGGGAGAGAACTTTTTGAATCCAACTTCGCCTATGTGAAGAGAATTTATATTGGTAACATGGATAGAAGCGGAGCTCTTTCAGATTCAATATAACCAAATGTTACTTTTGTTGCTGTGTGCCATTGAGGACATTCCGAATCCTAGAGATCTTGTATAGTTTCCCAGAGCAGCTCGTGGGTTTGAACTGCTAACTGTAAGGTTATCCTACAAGCCACATCAGGGATCAAAACCAAGTATGTATGCAGTTGTTGTTAAGTGCCAATGAGTAGGTGCAGACTCATGACAACACTGTATGGAGTTTCTGAGGATTGGCTGGTAGATTTGAATCACCACCTTGCAGGTGCCAGCCCAGTGCTAATCCTAAAACAACAAACTAGGATTCTTAAAAATTTTAGAAGTCAGAAAATATTCTTCTAAGGTGTTCAAGCTGTGTGCACATGCACTTATTTGCGTCAAATTTCCTCTTAGTAGTGACATACAGGTGTGGTGCTGTAGGATCCTACAGCAGAAATATTGCATTTATGCTATTTACAATGACATCATATATTATTCTATGGTTAAAATTAATAATAGACATTACTAAGGATTCTGTTTGGTCTGGTATGGGAGCAAGTCCTTGGGCACGTGTGTGTGACACCCTGAAATACTACACTGGATGATAGCAGTCCTACTGACATCACTATTGTTTGAATTTGTATGTGTGGTATCGTTCATTATGTTGTTGTTGTTGTTGCTAAGTGAAGTGCCATCGAGTCTGTTTGACTCACAGTGATCCAATATAGAATTTGCAAGACTTTAAATCTTCATGGGAGCAGAAAGTCTCATTTTTCTCCTGTGGTGTGGCTGGCAGACTCAAACCACTGATCTTGTGGTTAAAAGTCCAGTGTTTATTGGATGGCGCTAACTCACTTCTTTTGAGGTTAGTAGTATGGTGCTTATCCTATAGCACCACTCCAGGACTCCATGATTCACTGTGTTGTTGTTGTTGTTAAGTGCCCAAAGCAGATTCCTATGAAGCAGAGGCCAGTCATGCCTCCATCATGCAACTCTTTTTACCCTATTCTAATACCAATCATCCATCCTACAGCACTTTTTGCTTCACATCTGGGTTTTATTATGCATTGCAGTGACCACAGAGAACTCATAACAACAGTTATGGGGTTTATTAGGGAAATGAACAGGGTATAAGTCAGGATCAGAAACAACTCAGAAGGTAGCAGTTCTTTAATCAGGAATGTCACTTCTCAACAGTACTGCAGGCATGCCTCACTCTTGTCTGCAGTCTCTCAGCCATGTGGCCCCTTGGCCTCTGCCCTGCTTGGGCAAGTGTTACAAAGCTTTTAGTTAACTTTGCAGTCCAGGAGCAGAGGTCCCTGAGACCATCAAGAGAGAAGAGCAGAGAGCAGGACCCTACCCAGAGAAACAGTGATGCCTGAGATGGAGGCAGAAACAATGACATGGAGCAATGGAGCAGCTGGGGACTTTAGACCCAGAGAGGAAGAGGGGCTGTGTGTTGACGACCCAGGGGAAGCAGGGACGATTTGTAGGATATACCCTTTGGTTGGTCGATAATGCATGGAGGGGATTATAACCATGGTAGTGAAACGATATACAATAGGATGAATGTAAAACTAATGTTCTCCAATGTAAACTATCACATAATTCACAGTAAAACATAAAAAAAAAAAAAAAAAAGCTCTTTTAGCCAGTCTGTAAATGACCACAAGGCACATTCTGTAAGCCAGTCTTCTGCCTGTAGGCACTCAGCTTTACTTAGTCCATGAGCCTAGAAACCAGCAGTTGCTCTCTGTCTCCACTCATGCTTTTCTTTCTTGATGGTCCTGGGATCATCTTTTCCTGCATCTGAGATGACTCCTTTTAAACCTAACAGATGTCAAAGCTAACTAACAGCTGTGCTAGAGTCCTATACATTTTATTTGCATGGTCCCATAGTGTGGAGCTGTAGAATAAGCACTCGACTGCAAGATCGGTTTGAACTGCAAGGTTGGTGGCTCAAACTCACCAGTCACTCCTTGGAAACCCCACTATGAGGTGGAACCAACTTGACAGCACTTAACAACAACAACGATTCTATATCACTTGGTGGGAATTAAGAAAACTTTGAATAGAAAAGCCATATCCAGTAAATTAAATGTACTACACCAGCTTTCACATGCATATGAGGTGATTGAAAATACCATGACTTGGGTCAGGTGCATTTTAGTCCTGAAAGTGATACCTGTGTTCTCCTAACATTTTTAAAAGGCATTTTACAGTGGATTTGTCCAATGCAATGTGTTCTTTGATTTCTTGACTGCTTCTTCCAGTATCATTGATTGTGAAGCCAAGAAAAATAAGATTCTTGGCAACTTCACAATCTCTTCTCCATTTATTGTGATGTTGCTTATTGGTCCATTCATGATGATTTTATTTTCTTTATGTTTAGGTATAATCCCTACTGAAGGGTGTAATCTTTGATCTTCATCAGTCAGTAAGTGCTTCCAATGATCTCTTCTTTCAGCAAAGTTGTGTCATCTGCACATTGCAGATGTCAATGAGTCTTCCTCCAATCTGATGATGATGGCACATTCTTTTCCTTATAGTCCAGATTTCTGGATTATTTGCTCAGCATACAGGTTGAGTAAATATGTGAAAGGATGCAACTCTGACACATATTTTCCTGATTTTGAAACATGCATGACCCCTTGTTTTGTAAGAAAGATTTGGTTTATGTACGTATAGGTTCCACATGAGCACAATGAAGTGTTCTGGAATTTCCATTCTTAGCAATGATTTCTTAGGATCCACATAATCAAATGCCTATACATAGTCAATGAAACATAAGTAAACAACTCACTGGTTATTCTTCGCTTTAAGTCAAGAGCTATCTGATATTAACAATAATATTTCTCCTTCTACTTTCTCTTCTGAATCCAGCTTGAATGTCTGGCAATTCCCTGTCAATACACTGCTGCAGCCATCTTTAAACTATCTTCAGCAAAATTTTACTAACATGTGATATTTATGATATTGTACAAAGATTTCTGCATTCTGTTGGGTCACCTTCCTTTGGAATGGACACAAATATATATCTCTTCCAGTCAGGTGACCAGGAGATGTCTTCTGAATTTCTTGGTATAGACAAGTGAATGCTCACAGTGCTAAAGCCATTTGTTGAAACATCTCAATGGGCATTCCTGGAGCTTTCTTTTTGGCCAATGCCTTCAATGTAGCTTGTAATTCTTCCTTCAGTATCAATGATTTTTTATCAGATCATTGAAATCGTTGAACACCAACCAGTTGTTTTTGTACAGTGACTCCAATATTCCATATATCTTCTTTTGACATTTTCTGCATCATTTAATATTTTGCCCTTTGTTGTTATTAAGTGCTGCTGAGTCAGTTCCAACTCATAGCTACCTGTCTATATAGGGTTTCCAAGGAGCAGCTGGTGAGTTTGAACTATTGGCCTTGTGGTTCAGAAGCAACCTTTCAGTCCAGTGCTTTACTCCACAGTGCCACACCAGGACTCCATCTTGGCCATTTTGTTGTTATGTGCCATTGAGTCGTTCTGGCTCATAGCAACCCTGTATAGGGTTTCCAAGGAG